TGGTGCGCGTTGTCTTACATTCGCCATTGGTGAACAATACATTGGACGGAGACATGTTCCAGCCACCGTACTTGTTCACCTTCTCTACGGCAGGCGCGGGAGGGAGGCCCCCAGGGAACGCCGTGTTGCACTGTTCTTGGAATAGCTCGAGGGATTGGAACGAGGTCTCGATGGACAGCGGGTTGTTTGGGTCTCCCCGCTGGTAGAAACCTGTTCAACCGCATCAAAGACCGACATTTTCGAATGAAGACCGTCAAGTAAGCCCACGCACCATACTCCGAGCAGTACTGCCACATCCACGACCGGTCCGTGACAGGATCGTCAGGATCACCCGGGATCGCATCGTAGTTGACTTCCCGAACAGCAGTGAGAAACGCGTCCAAGGCGGCGTCGATCCCGAGGTTCGCAGCAACTCCCGTCTCGAACGGCGTCCCCGTCGAGTTCCGCGTCTCGAGCACGTTGCAGAACGGCAGCACCGACGCCTCGAACCCGTAGTACTGTGCCCGCGCCCCTCGTCAACATGCCGCCGCCACAACACACTGACTGCACATCGACACCCAGCTTACCTGGTAGAAGTTCAGCGGATCCATGAGCACGCCCGCGGCGCTCACATCGCTCGCATTCGCCGCGCGCCCCCGCGTCACGCTCCCGTCGCGCGCGCCGAGCAGCCTAAACTTCAGGTCCGCGACCGCGTCCGGCGAACCGGTGCGCAGCGTGTCGTCGACGTGGCGCGTCACCGCGACCCAGTCGGCGGAGCAGTTGCGCGTGAGGCTGCGCTCGGCGGCCTTGTAGTATGCGGCCATGTCGACCTGCGCGTGCACGGGCGCGGAGGACGCCCAGACGGCGAAGATCGTCTCGGGGTTGCGCACGCGCAGGAGCGCGCCGCGGATCCCAGGGTACGAGCCGCCGAGCCATATCCACGGGGTGCGCGAGGGGTGCAGGGGATTGGTGGATGTGGTGGAGGCGTTGGCTGGAGGTGGCGGAGCTTGGGTTTGGGCGTCGCTGTTGGAGAGCGAGAAGTGGTTCGCGAAGTAGACGACGTCTTCGAGGGCTTGTTCGGTGTTCAGGAATTGCCACTGTTCTGCTGTGGTGTTTTCCTAGGAAATATCACGTCGTCCGATGAATGTTTTGGTATGGGTGAGTAGTTTCAGCACGCACGTTGACGGGGAAGGGCAGGGAGTCGCCGTAGAAGCGGTGTTCCCACAATATGGCGAGACCACCGTAACGTTTTGCGACACGCATCGTCGCCGAGAGCCCATGGTACTCCTGCAGGTAGTACGGTAGGAGGGGCTCTGCGTTCTGCTCTCCTGAGTCGAACACTTATTGTCGTGATCAGCCGCGGGCGCAATATTGCGGCCCATGCAAGAAATGTGCTCATAGAATACAGGACCGCCAGGTTTGTAGTAGGTATCGTTCACCCAGTATCTGTTCTTGAACGTTCCTGTGGTGTTTCCAAAATGGTCCAGAGGCATCTTCGACCAGCCAATGCATGTGTTAGCCAAGATGGTGCTGTGCAAACATCATCGTCTTCCTCACCTCAAAAAATCGCGCTTCATTAGGAGCAGTGCTCTCCCGCGCCACCAGCGGAAGGGCCTCCATGAAACGCATAGGAGGCACCCCACTGGCGCAGGAAAATCCTACAAAAAAGAAGAGTAAGGCAGCGTGCAAGAGGCGGAGCGTCATCATTTCGCATGTGCGCGCGATACCGCATACATCGTCCTGGCTATTATATACTGTACGCTGCCGTCACCCGTGCATAAGGAAGGTATAGACGATAGCCCACATGTGGTGAATGCGAGGGAGTGAGAGATAACGCAGGTAGCATGATCGCACTTCGCAACTTCTTACGTTGTGCGGTTGGAGCAGCCGCGCACGGCCCCGGGCCGGAGGCTTGCCTTCCGCCGGGGAAAGGTGCAGTGTGCGTTATAGCTTACAGGAGACCTGTCTCGAGGATGGGGTATCAGATCCATGTAGATAGAGCACTAGAAGTACAGATTATAGCAAGGTCCCACGTGGAAGCACGAGCGGCCCTCCGCTCATGCGATCCCGTAGCGCCGCTTCTCCCAGTCCGCCCACTGGAAGATGGGGAGCGGGTGCGCCTCCGTATTGAACACCCAGCGGTCCAAGGGTATGAGCTCCTCGTCTTCGAACAGCAGGTATAGGTATTTGAGCCTGTGATGGGTTGCCGTCAGTACACATGCGATACCGCATACTGAAAGAAAGTTACGTACGTCTCTGCAGTGAAGAAGCTAAGGCGAATATAGGTGAGCACAACGAAACCCTGAGTATGAATCGCAGACACGCACCTCGGCATCTCGTCCTTCAATCGTGCCGGAGAACTCTCGACCGAGAACACGCTCGCGTAGCCGCTCGTCGTCTTCGCCTCCTTCTCGATCGCGCTGAATACCGCCCACCCCCGCTCTCTCCACACCACATCGCCCGTCGTGCGCCACATAATATAGAAGCTCTCCACCGTCTGCACACCGAGCATACAGTCAGCGTCCCTCCCGCAGCCCATATCGCACAAACCACGCACCTCCGGCCTCAGCAGATAATCGACCTTCGTCGCGCGGTAGTCGCGCTCCCCCGCCACGGGCTGCGGCGGCACCTGCTTCAGCCCCGGGGGCACGCGCCCCGGGCGGCCCCGCGCCTCCCAGTCCGCGAGCAGGTCGACCCACAGGCCCCCGCGCGGGTGCGCGTCGTCCACGGGGACGTGCGCCATCACCATCTCGTCTGGCCCCAGGCCGGTCGCGTGGTCCGCGTACGTCGTCCAGCACGTGTGCGCGAGGCCCTGCGCGGCCCACTGGTGGCGCTCGCGCTCGGACGCGGAGAGCGGGAGCGTGTGCGCGCCGAGCGCGAGCAGGCCGGGGAGGAAGCAGGAGAGGTGCTCGAATGTGTGGCTGGGGCCGTGTGCGGAGGTGTCGGTCACGTAGAGGAGGCCGCGGGTGGGCGTTACGTAGAGGAGGTTGGAGAGGACCGCTTGGACGTCGCGGAGGTCTGGGGGGTGGGTTAAATGCGGCGGCTGTGGGGGGGAGGGGGGGGGACGTACAGAGGTCGAGGGCCTTGGCTTCGGATTTGGCTGTTAGCAGCCATTGTTTCAGGAAGTACTCGTGCGCGCTGTCAGCAAACGCGCCGACGGAAAACTGGGCTGTGCGTGGGTGAGCATGTTGGCTGAGTCTGTTTCAGTCAAGCATGTGTATGAGCACGTACAGGTGGTGGGCCGCCCGGTCATGACGGACCATTTCGTCGGGAACTTATCGCCCTCAACATTGGCTTCGTTCATGAGGTCCATCATGCGCTCGACCTAGGGTTGTTTAGCCAGGACATGCCCTGGTAGTGTCAACGAGACGAACCCTGTCAAAGTACTCTTGCCGCCCTGTGAGGTGGGCGAGGTACTTGTACTCCATTTGACAGCTTAGGGCCTCGGACCAGAGGATATCTGCCCCCGTCCATCCGAACCGAGTCATTCCACTGCGCTGCGAGGTGAGAAATTGCAGATGGAAGTCACAGGGGATACTTACGATACGGTGTTCACAGCGTACATCGGCAATCCATGTGTCGTATTGAATGCGGGAAGCATCATAGTGCCCAGGTCATCCGCACGGGCAAGCAATATGGGCTCCCCAGAGAGAGCATAGGCGGACAGCAACCCGCCTAGGTAACGAATGACTGTCTCGAAGAATGGCGCGTATTTGCCCTGAGTATATTGTCAGAGCCACTCACATGCCCAGAACACGCCTCATAAATACCTCTGGCAACGCGAAGGTCATGTTCGCAATGATGGGTATCGTCTCCCGGAACTCGTCATGCAACCCCATTATGAACATAGTGTCCAGGCTATCCACCAACGTAAGGCGCCAGCCGTTGAAACTATTTAGGGATAAGGGCTGCGGAACCACGCTCGACGTTCTTGGGATACATACTTGTCCACAAAACCATCCGAAACCGGACGAAGCTCGTCGTGCTCCCCCGCGAACTCCTGGTAGCCCCGGTATGCGTGGAGGAACGCGTCTCTGACCGCATCGGCACGCTGGGACCATATTGTCGTCGGCCGGACCTGACCTGGCCGGCCGCCAGGCGGAGGCCCAGGCGGCGGATGCGGTGGAGGTGGGTAGAGATGATCCGCATAGTCTGGCTGAGGGAGATACAGCGAACGGTCGGCCACGCCAAAGTGAGCGAAGAACCATAGGAGGAGTGTTGCGGCAGCTCCGATGGGTATGAACCGGTACACCCGTTTCGTCTTCAAGAAATCCATGGCGATGTTGCGCGTAGAGCCCAGGGAAGAGAGGAGGTTATAGAGGCCGAGGAGGATGATTCAGCGTGTCACCATGCGAGACTTGGACGAGCAGAAGGAGACAGCAGAGAGAGCGGAGAAAGAGGGAGGAGAGCGGGCCCACCGTCCTTGCGAGCGGTGGACGGTGTGCGGGGCAAGAGAGGGCGCGAGAGTGGGGAACGGAAAGCAGACTGAGACTCGGGGAGGCATGCTGGCGGCCTCGGCAGATGGATCCATGCTCTCCGTCGCTGCCAAGAGATCAATACACAGATTCAGGCTGCCGGAACAGCCACCGCTCTGTGCCGCTTCCACAATGTCAGGGCCTCCTCGGGCTTCGGGGTTTCCGATTTGGCAACTGTGGAACATTGCGGGTGGCTCGTGCTTCTCCGCACACCACATCTGGGATCTTAACAGAGGAAGGAGCCAGGAACTGCTAGTGGAGGAGAAGAGCAAGGGTCACTAGACCCATCACAGGCGGACAAACATGACCTCCTCTCGGCGGATACTTCCCCATCGTCTCCGATATGAGTCCGGCCGGTGGGAATGGTGAGGAGATGTAAGATGATGCCCGTGTGCCCGAAAGAGCCTCGAAACCCGCCCGCGTGGTGGTGGTCCGATGCCGCGATTATAATTCGGCGTCCTATCAGTCTCACCCTGGGTAACTCGGGCACAGTAGCTATCATGCTGGCCTCTTGGGTCAGGCGTACTACAACGCGAGTGAATTTAAGGCGAGATGGCCGAGCGGTCTAAGGCGCCAGACTAAGGCGGTTACTTCGTACGAATCTCCAGCAATCTGGTCCGAAAGGGCGTGGGTTCGAATCCCACTCTCGTCATTTTTGCCTGCTCGACGTACCCGAGGGAAGAGTGCAACTAGTAATATTGTGCGGACGCTGCAGTACAAAACGTCGAGTGTGTCGGAACATAGCATTTAAGCGCCAGCGTGCCGACTCCGAGGTCGGGTATCACGCGAGTGTAGTAAGCGTTTCTCAAACCCTCACGTCCACACAACTTCTCGTTACATGTCTTCCTGCTACTTCACTCATCCTCGTCCGATTCCTTGACTTTTGAAATGTCTCCCTCCGAGAAGGCTGCAGGCTCCTCGGGGTCGTCTTCCAAATCATCACTTCCGCCTGGCATGGTCATAGGCCCAGATGGAAAGCCTTGCAAGATCTGCACCGCGTTCCGCAACTGGAAACCGCGCGTCGACCAGCCCAAAGCGCAGACCCAACAGACCCCACAGGGCGCGCAAAAGACCGCCGCCATGATGGCAGCATTCGCGACCGGGACCGGCTTCGCGTCCACCTCCGCCGCCACACAGACACCCGCGCCCGCCCCGGTGCCCGCCGCGGAACCCGACCCGTACGCGCGCCCGGAGAACTGTCCGCCGGACGTCGAGCAGCTCGGGCGCGTGACTTGGACGTTCTTGCACACGACCGCGGCGTACTACCCGGACAAGCCGACGATGGCGCACCGCGTGAACATGCTGTCGCTCCTCCGCGCGCTGCCCGTGCTCTACCCGTGCTCGACGTGCGCGACGCACCTCGGCGAGGAGATGAAGACGCACCCGCCGGACGTGAGCAGCCGCGCGACGCTCAGCCGGTGGTTGTGCGAGCAGCATAACCAGGTGAACGAGCGCCTGGGGAAGGAGCGGTTTGACTGCGCGGTGGAGAAGCTGGACGAGCGGTGGAAGGACGGTCCGGCGGACGGCAGTTGTGATTGAGGAGTTGGCGGCTGCAGTGAGTGTTAGTCGTGTGCAAGACACACCGGGTAGACGGAATGACTGCACAACACTCCTAGAATCGGCCGAGCCACTCGCTGCACATAATTGAGCCGCATGCATAATATGTTGAGTAAGATCGCGCAGCGTTCGACTGTTCATGTCCTAGACTTAAGTCACCTTGTAGATGAGCCCAGACCTCTGTTCTGCATTACCTACCCTAGACGTACACACCACTCAATGCATCACATTAAGCTACAGTTGCAACACATCCTAGCCAATATTCAATACAACTACGCTTGACATCCTACTCCCTGAGGCCTGAGTACTGACTCCTGGCACATGCTACACACCCCATAGTGACCTATGTCAACTCCTCAATTTTCGCTGCCCCCTGACTCTCGTTTTGCCCGATTCGCCTGACGTTCTGTCCGTGAGCCGACGCCTCTCGCTGGGCCTCGCTCTCTAGCGCTTTCGCCTTCATCGCCGCCTCATCCGCGAGCACGCGCAGCATAGGCGCAGGTGTTCCCAAAACATATGCGGCGTAGAACGTAAGCTTGTGCACGACGTGGTTCGGCTTCGACTTCGCCTCTGGCTGACCCGGCTCGCCGTGGGCCCCCCGCGTCCCCTCAGCAGGACTGCCGAAGAACTCTGCGAAATCGGACAGAACCCGGAGTGTGTCTCTGCTAGGATGGGCTTCGAGTTCTGTTGCTGTGAGGCTTGAACCGGGCTGGGGGACGACAGTCACGGCGGCAGGGCGCAAGAGTAACGCCGTGTCCTTCAGCAGCAGCGAGAAGAACCGCGAGTCCATGTGGCCCTGTGTTGGTGCATAAGCAGGGTAACGATATGAAAGTAAGAGGTGCTGGCGTACGGGTGGAAACCTCGACCACAGATCCGTTACGACGCCCGATAGCGACGAGTGCGCGAGGTTCGATCTTCGATCGGTGAGGAAGGGAACCAGCTGCGATATTGACCGCTTGATTTCGCTGCGCTCCGGATCTGTGGGCTGGAGTGCCGCTAACGGCGAGACGGAAAAGTGACGGACGATATATGCGTATGCAACACTATCCACAACGGATTGTCAGCGCAATCCATACTTTCGCACACATAGCCTATTTCGGCACACTCACCACAGCGCGCATATGTTGTAGAGGAGGAGCGGACCGCTCAGCGCGTTGGCCGATGACTGTTTCACGAGCGGCGCTGGGACAAACATGATAGACGGCTTCGCGCCATGCCTCCGATTTGTTGTTGGATCCGAGGGCAGAGGCAGGTCGTCCGAGTGAGGCTGAGCGGGTGTTTCCCACCACGGCTCTACCTGCTCCCTCTCCAACTCAGCGCTGGACAGCAGCTGCTGCGCGAGCTCGCTGCTCGGGTCGTTCAATGCGTGCAGGAATTTCTCGCGCTGCGCGGGGGTCAGGGCCTCCCAAAGCTCCTCGTACGACGCGGAATCTGTCCACAAGCCTTTCATCTCAGTATGCGTGTACGCCTAGGACGAGCAGAATGCAGTTACCGAGGTCGACATTTTTGAGCCTCTGGGAGAGGCCATCCGCGTCTTCGTCGTTGTCGGAGTCCTCGAGCAGCGGGCTATCGTCGAGCGCGTCCTCTTCGAAGCGTTTTAGTAGGTCCATCATGCGCCGTTTCTCTTCTACGCTCGCCGATGGCGCGGTCTTCACGTCCAGCTCCACCTCCTTGCGGTAGAACGACTCCGAGCAGTCGCCATGTTTCTGTGCGCAAGTCAGTCGGTGCTCCCGGCGGTGTGGCGGAACGACGTACTTCGGAGCGGAAGCATACGAGGGAGCAATATGGGATATTGCAGCGCGGGCATGTGTAGCGCGAGAACTGTCGCCGACAACTGTGAGCGGTTTCAGGCGTGCTGACCGAGGTCGCAGAGAGTAAAGACTGACATTACACAGGGCACTGTGGTTACAGATTCTGCCTCGGCGGTAGACGCTATGACGGGTTCTGTCTGCGTTTCTTCAGACATTCTCCTTTAAATATGTCTCAAAAGTGTCCTTGAAGCCTGTACGATGCTATGCCTAGCGCAGCGGATGTCAACAAGCTTTCGTGCTTGCTAAATGACCTGAGGGAATTCGAGCAAGAGGTAGTAGACCCTAACCCTAGACTGTGAGCAAAGAAAGCCACGGCGGGCGCTTGGGGAAGTGTTGTTCCTGTTTGCGTCAGTGACCATCCTCCACGGTCGCGGTTTGGTAACATATTTACCGGCCTCGCTACTGACCACCATGAGTTTCAAGAAAAGGTCAGCGCAGTGTATTTGATATCATCACCAGACGACCTAACGCGCGACATACGCAGTAAACTCGACCTCCTCGTGCGCGTTCGCTACACCAATCCGCTACCAGCGCCGCCATGTCCCCCCAAGCTGCTCGATATACCCACCGACCCCATGCGCTATGCGCGACCCGAATTTCTGGACGAGATTGCAGCAAGTACCCCCTTGCCGATGGTTGTGGACGGCGAGCTGGGCATGCCGCTTGATTTGTCGCAGTGGGACTGCTTGTGGGAGGAGAACGGGGATGATTCTGGTGCGTGGTTTGACTCTCTGCCTCCAGCACCCCCAAGTACACGACTTAACTGCAGTCCATGCAGAGCTGAATCCGGACCCCACCCAACCATCAAAACTCGACCCAGAAGACCTGTTCCTTCTCGGAGACCCTACGGCCTCAGGGACCCCATTCATCCCCTCGACACCTGGAGCGTCCCACCCCTCTGCAGCGACCATGCCCAACGTCGCCTGGCTACGGAAGACCGAATACCTCAGTCGGGAGAGCTACTCCCGCTCGTCGCTCCCCCAAGACTTGTACGTCTCCTCCCAGAATCCCCCAGTCAGCTATGCATGCTGACGCGTGGCCGCGCCAGCAAACACAATAAAGACCACGCGATCGACGTCTCGCGCGACGCCCAGCTGCGCGATATCGACGCGTCCTTCGCCGCCATCGCGAAGTCTGAGCTCTCCGCGCTGCGGCACCCCACGAAGCCCGAGCTCACTGCCGTCGAGGAGTTCGAGATCTTCCCCGACGCGGAGATCTGGGCGAACGCGTACGACCTGTTCCGGTTCTCGGAGCGGCCGGGAGACAGGCCACTCGAGGTGAGTTCGGAAGCCGTTCGGCTCAGGGCGGTACTGACATGACTCTCGTAGGTGGAAGACCCGCGCCTCGACTGTGCGGTGTTGCGTCCGATGGAGGCGGACGGGGACCACTTCTTGGCGTACTACCTCACAAAAGAGGACGAGGACGCCGTCGAGTTCAAGCGCAATCGCCTCGCGCGCTCGCCCGACGACCCTCCCGAAGACGAGGTACGCCTACCGCGTTCATAACGCTTGCGCAGCTGCTGATTTAGTCACCCACTCCGCAGCCGACCCACTTCCACTTCGTGCGCGACTACGAGACCGTCAAGGTCGAACAGGAAGTGCCAAACGAGTTCCTGCTCGTCCTGGACGACGGCATGGCGGACGAGGACGTCTTCGACAGCAAAACGGGCGCGCTGCCCCGCCCGAAGGGCGCGTACTACAAGAACATCGAGCGCAAGATGCTCCTCAAGCGCAAGCGCGTGAACGTACGTCTTCCGTCTCCCCCTTCTCGCTCCCCATCCTTCCGCGTGGCGCGTACTGACGTCCACATGCTGCAGACGTACGAGGCGTACGGCGACAAGTGGGACGTGGTGAAGCTCACGCACACGCCGATGAGCGCGGAGGAGGCGCAGGAGCGCGAGGACGCGCTCTCGGAGGTCGTCGACCCGCTCTTCCCGCTCGCACGCGGGGACGCGGACGCGGACGCCGAGGGCGAGGTCGACGAGGCTGCGGCCGCACATGGGCTCAACGGCAGCGCGAACGGCGCGCGGCATGAGATTGTCGATGCTGTGGATGTGTTTGGGGAGGAGTGAGTCGGTGTCACTGGGTGCACGAGTCATGGAACTTGAAGAGACCGGAGTGGGGTGGCGGATGGGGTTTTGTGGATGGTGTGCTTTCGGTGTGTACATTCGTGCTTCAAGTTGTCTAAATTGCTTTCGTATCGCCGTATAATATCAGACGATTTCCCCGTTGATGTCCATACGTGAAGCCTGCAAACCAATGCCTCGAAGAACCCTGGGGTTAAG